AACTTAAATTGCTAACTTTAGTTCCTGAGAGTTGGAACATTAACTATACAGAAAACTATTTTTCCGCTTCCCAAAGAATGATAAAAACTGCAAGGCATTTGAAACAAATGCATGGCATAATGGCAGAGCCGTTTAAAAAAGAAGGAAGATCTATTAGTGAGAAAGTAAAAAATTTAGTTCATGAATTTTACCAGTCAGATGAATACTCTAGAATGTGTCCAGGAAAAAAATAGTATGTCTCAAGCCAAGTTGATGGTAAAAGACAACATTTTCAAAAAAGACTGCTATTACTTAATATAAAAGAACTTTATTTAGAGTTAGTTAAAATTTCCTTAGATGTCAAGGTTGGATTTTCTAAGTTTTGTGTACTTAGACTAAAGTGGTGTATTCCTGTTGGAGGTGCTTCAGGTCTCCACTCAGTATGCGTTTGTGAGTACCACCAGAATGTCAAACTTTTAGCATTAAAAATACAGATATTTTAGACAATAAAAATCTCTCGACATTAGTTGTATGTGACTTAACAAATCGAGACTGCATGCTGCATAGTTGTGATAACTGCCCAGATACTGACACACCCAGATACTGACAAACTGCCCAGATACTGACACACAGAGTATCTTACTACTTTGTTTGATAAACATAGCATTGAGGAAATCACCTTTAATCAGTGGCAAAAAGCCAACAAAAAACATGATATAGTTCCAGTAACTCTTCCAGTGGACGATTTTATTGAAAAAGCTTGTCAACAAATAGACCAATTAAGAGACCATTACTATATAGCCAAAAATCAAGCAGCATATTTGCAGCATCTGAAAATCACATTACCAAGTAATCATATTTTAATATTACTAAACTTTGCTGAAAATTACAGTTTTTTAATTCAAGATGCAGTGTAAGGTTTCTATTGGAACAATAGCCAAGCAACATTGCATCCTTTTGTTATTTACTTTATGGAAGAAAATAAGATAAAATGTAAAAGTATTTGTATTATTTCAGATAATTTGCAACACAATGCAAACTCAGTTCATTGTTTCATTCATGAAGTATAAAAACGTTTAAAAAACTTGATACCCTACTTTAACCATTGCATTTATTTCAGTGATGGTGCATGTTCACAATACAAAAATTATAAAAACATATCTAACTTATGTCACCATAAACAAGATCATGACGTATCAGCAGAATGGCATTTTTTTGCTACATCACATGGAAAGAGTGCGTAAGATGGTGTTGTGGGAACTGTCAAAAGACTAGTAGCAAGGGCAAGTTTACAATCACTAGTTGATCCTATCAATTCATCTGAGAAAATGTATGATTGGTGTAGACAAAATATTGATGGAATACATTTTAAATGATGCAGTTACATTACATTGCATAAAATTTAAATTAGAAGAATGTTATGCTATTTGTTCAACAATTCCAGGAACAAGAAACCACCATTGTTTTATACCACAATCATTAACTACTTTACAAATGAACGGGTTTTATTCGACAATGTGTTTACTAATGTAAATATTTCAACAATGCAACAGAACTGTACGATTCCACTTGCATCTCTTTCACCAGGAATTTATATAGCATGTGTTTATGATGGAAAATGGTTTTTAGGTAATATTGTGGAAATATCTGAAGAAAATCAAGATATCCTTATAAAGTTCATGAAGCAGTCTATTTCCTCTAACACTTTTACTTTGCCGCATAGAGAAGATATTTGCTGGGTTCCAATAATGCAAGTTCTATGCAAAATTTCATCTTTAAAAGTGCAATCAGCAACTGGTAGATGCTATGAACTATCAACTCAAGAAAAAACTGAAATAATACATTTGTACATTAGTATATTTAATAACAAAATTATATAATAACAAAGCAAAATTGTTATAAGCTTGATCAATCAAAAAAATGTATTGAAGCATACTTGAATGATTCCATCTTTATGTTGATTTTTTATTAAAGAATAATGTTTTTTAATACATAATACGTATTAATAAATATAATTATATAATTACATAATAAACTTGTGTATTGCAATGACAAATCAAATTACTCTTATAACTTGATATAATCTGTTATCTAAATTTAAACATGACAATAATAAGATAAAGGGGGAAGGGTGGATTTATTTTCATTTTTTATCTAATAAGCATAAATGTTTATTAGATAAAAAATGAAAATAAATACTTATCATTCTAGTTATCTGCACAACACATATTTGTTTCTATACCAGTTATTATCTTACAGTTTTATATTCTGACTTAAATTTAGTATCATTTTCCCCAAAGCATTCGCTACTCTGCCCTATTATTTGTAAATTTACAAATAAATATCACAGCTATTATTTGAGTATGTTCAATACTTGGTGCATAAAGATACTTTATGCATCAGATATAATACCAGACACACTGCATAAGCTAAAATGTCTAATAAACAGTAGATATAATGTTATCGAGAAATAAGTTCTTCTTAAGATAAGAATGTTCTGGGCAAAACTATGCATGTTAAAAAACAAAAAGACAAGGGGGGGGGGGGGGACAACTAAGGTTAGTTAAAACCTGAGTTTAATTCAGTCCTAATTTAAAGCTAATTTGTAGCAATGATTTTGATATACTTTCATATATATATATACATTTTTTTGCATTGCAGTAAATAATGAATACTAAAGTACATATATCTCTATTTTTTGCTTTTTTAATGCATTTTGTGCCAATTTCTTTGTTTTGACTTTGTAACTTCCCCATGAGTACCCACTATTTTTTTTTCTGTAATCACTTTAATAAAGTCTATTAAGTCAGTAGAAAAAAGGTTTATCATGAAAATCAGTGTTGATCATAGGTTACCTGTGCATTTAAGGGAAGGAACAATTTTTGTAGTTCTAGCCGGAGCCATTTTTAGGGGTCCATAATTTCTTACTGAATTGTATCTTATCAGCAAATTTCTAAAAATTATGAAGCCTACCATATATAGAAATTAAAAAGATGTCTTTTTACTTCTTAAATTGCTAGTTTTGTATATTGACCCATCAAAAATCAACTTTTTATATCTGCAAACAATTTTTTCGGTTTTTTAGGCAGCCAATATGGATAAAATGTGACATTAAACAATTCAATGTCAAAGTTTTAAGAAAGTAAACCCAGCATTGTATATGATAAAAAAAACTAGAAGGGTTTCTGAAATTTCGTTTTTAAAATACAGAGCTTCAAAGTATGAACAAAACATGTTTTTGCTACTGAAGTTTTTGTTTTTGGAAAAATCAGAAATTTCAAATGGCTCATGAACCACATAAAATTTGAAGCTGAAATTTTCAGAAATTGCTTTTCTCATTGATATTAACCAACTCACCAAGTTTCATCAAAATTTGAGGAGGTCCATGTTGGACCCTGGTTTGGCATGGAATGACCTAAAACTGTTTTGATCACTAAACTTGATAGATAATATATTTTAAACTTTAATATTTTAATTTATTTTATAAAACATCAGATAAAACTAGAAAAATAAAGCACCATAAAGTACGATATAAATATTAAAAAACAAGCGCTAATCACAACAGTCTAAAGGACTTTAACAGTGATCAAATATTTTAAATAAAAGAAATTGTTAAATAAGATATAAAATACTTTTATACCTTATTTAAATCTAATTCAATATTTTCTTATAAATTAAACGCTTTTAACACTTTAGCTGATACGAATACTAAATTAAAAGACGGAGGAGTTGATCAAAACTTTTTATAGTTATTTTAAAACAAAAAAGAAACTCTAACAACATATTTAAATAAATATACTTTAACTTCTAATTTAAAACATTTAAATTTTTAAATAAATAATTCCATAAACTTTCCCCTAAAATAAAAATCTATTTTAATGTTTTATATAATGCGCAAGTAGCATTAGCATATTCTTTAATTGGTTGGCTTTTTATACAAAGTTTCATACAGGGTGCAAATAGCATTAGCATCGTTTTTTATTGGTTGATTTTTAAATAACCGCGAAAGTTTTTCGCACCTTTAGTAATAATAATTTTTGTCTTACAACTTTCTTTTTATTTTTAATCCTTAAATTACCTGGTGTTTAAAAAAACAATAATTAAAAATATGTAAATTTTGACTGTTATTATTTTTGCAGTAGTAAATTTATTGTTCTGTTTTTTCATTAATTTTTGTAAATAAGATAAATTGACAGTTTCATTAAAACAGTGTTAACTGTTTTTAAAAAAAACTAAGAATTTAATGACCAGAAATATTTCTGGATATTGCAATTCGCGATCACTTATTAAGCTCAAAGCTACATCGGATCCTAACAACTTTCTTTAACTTGCACTTGTTGTCAAATCATGGAAAGAATTATCAACTCACATACTGTTGAGTATCTAAATCATTACAACATAATATCTCTTAGTCAGCATGGTTTTCTCAATTAACGTTCCGCGTGAACAAATCTTTTAGAACCTACTAAGATTTGGAGTATCACACTTGACAATCATCTGATAACAGATATAATATATCTTGACTATTTGATTCAGTACCTCATTCAAAACTATTATTTAAACTTTCATTATACAATATAGGTGGCGAACTTTTAAAATAGATTTCTGCATTTCTCACAAACAAATCTCAACAAGTTAAAATATGATAGTTCTTTATCAGATCCGATTTCTTTAAAATTATTTTCCTAGCAATTTTCACAACTATTGTGATTGTTTTTATAATTTTGAAAATAACAATTTAGCTTTTTAAATTATTTTTAAAAGACTTTAAAACTGCAATTAATTTAAATCAAGTCATGATTTTAGTTTTTGTGAGAACGTTTTTTGCTTTTACGACACATTTAAATGTAATAATCAATTGACTAATTTAATTAGTAAATTATTAATTTTTTTATTAACTTAGTAATTTACTTTACTAATTTGATAAAAGTAATTAAATACAAATAAGTAATGCATCAAAATAATAGTTTATGTCGTCTTTCAAGAAAATTGATCATCTGGTGCCATATATATATTGTTACCTTTAGGTTTTTTCTTCATTTTAGGTTTTATACAGTACATATGGTAACCTCTGTCACATCTATCACAAAACAAAATCTGTTTCTATAAAATAAAGCAAAAATTAAATTATTACATTAAATTTAATATTACAGTTGTGTTAGTTAAGTAATACAGTTGGGCAATGTATATAATTATATATACTTGTACACACATATTATATATATATATATATATATATATATATATATATATATATATATATATATATATATATATATATATATATATATATATATATATATATATATATATATATATATATATATATTTGTAGTGGAATCTTGTAATAGATTTTTCACTACTTTCCAGACAAACTGGACATCTGAAACTTTCAGTATTTGTGTAGCCCTGGCAAACGTGTGTTAAAATTATTTCCAGGACAGATGACCAGAGGGCCCATAAGGGCAGGGCACTGGGGGTCATGCCTCACTTTTCTCAAATAACTTTTTTTTTAATGCATTTTTAATGCATTTTAATAAAGTAAAGATAACTTTGAAAATATTGTCTTCAAAAAATTTTTTTTGTTCATATTTGTTCCATTCTGTTTTTGATCATTCTGTATTCAATGGTCTTTCTTAAAATGTTTTAAGAAAGTGCATTTATAAGATTTTTGATTTGCAAGTATATGGATTAAAATCAGTCATCCATGCAAAGTAATGATTTTAACAGAATTTTAGATTGTATAATTTAAAACTTTTTGAATTGAAAAGAAAACAGACAGAACAACTTTGATTTATCAGACAACAACAATTGAAGAATACATCATAAATAATATATAAGATAATCAGAAAGCAGTATACCTCATTAAAAAACAAAAAATTTAATAAACAAAACAACAAAAGCCTTAAATAAATTCTAACGCTGTCATAGATACCTCATTTGAAATATGATAACCGATCAAAAGTGTAGGAAAATAAGCAACCCGCGAAACCCAAAATCATAACAATAATTGAATAATATATGATAGCGAAAAAGAACTTTGCACAAAAACCTTAAAAATGTAAGCGGCATATATGTATACATTTAGTAAAGGATATAAAAATATTCTCTGAATAATAATAAAGATGAAAATTGTGCATGTGAAAATTAAAACAAAGCTGAGTAACGAATGCAAGATAATATAACATTAAAGTTCCTTGTTAACAGTAATATGAAAATCAGCAGATAAATAATATATAAATGAATATTGCAATAAGACTAGCTAAATATTGTAATAAAACCAGATAAATTTAAGCCAAATTAGTGGTTAAAAAATAAGTTGTGGGTAATATAACAATGATATAAACCGTGATTTAAAAACGATGTATGAAGGGGGAAAAAAAATTGTTAAGAAGTGAAGTTTTCTCTACGGTCCAAACTAAAAGAAACTTTGAGACCGTATCTAAATTGAAATTTCTGTAAAGTAAAGTTTTCTCTACGGACCGAATTAAAAGTAACTTTGAGACCATATCTAAATCAAAATTTTTGAAAAGTAAAGTTTTCTCTATTGTCCGAATTAAATGAAATTTTGAGACCATAACAAAATAACAAGGAAAAACATACATCATCAAAGCATTTCCAAAGCCGCTAGTTTATAAGGATCGCTGTTATATATATATATATATATATATATATATATATATATATATATATATATATATATATATATATATATATATATTATATATATATATATATATATATACATGAAAACTAAATCACACATGATAACCACATATACATAACATACAAATCTATATCTACATTTTAACCACATTATCTATCAAAAAAAAAAATTATCTAATTAAGGATGAGTTCAAACAAAGATAGTTTATCTATGAATAATAAACTATCAAAAAATATATAAATGGATGTTATCATAGGCAATAAGAAAATTAACAGCTCATTCCTAGATTGCAAAATCTCGAGCAGGATACCAAAGGCAACAAAAGGAAAATTTGGCGAATGAAGTTTGGATGCAAGTAGCTCATTATTTAAAAGAAAATCATCCTAATATTTCAAAGATTCTTTATTTTTCAGATGGTTTTGCTGCACAGTATATTTCAAAGATTTTTTCAGATGGTGCACAGTATAAAAATCACAAAAAGCTGAATTTTGAATTTTGAATTTGTTTATTCAGTTATCAATTATTATTAAATAAAGTCGTTAAAGTAAAATAAAATGAACACAAATGCGACTTAAAAGTTGTGATTGTTATTTTAATCAACAAAATATGGTAATAAAAATTGACAAGGAAGAGGGGAATAATGCTCTTCCGTTCTGACAATACCTGCTGCAGCGTTACAGCAGTTGATTTACGTTAAATGATGTTTAAATGCAATAACTGTTGTCTCGTCGACTGAACTTTGTGTAAGTTCGCTCCAACTTTTTTTGACCCGGTTTGTGAAGTTTTCATGCACTGCACAGTGCTTTATTAATTGTGGCTCAAGTTTATGATTATGTCCATGAAGATTATGAGTGGCCAACGACACCAGCTGCCTTTATGGCACGAAAAATTCTATTTCTTCAAACTTGTGTGTGATTTTGTACTGTTCAATTAGATCACCACGCCTTCTGCATTCTTCAAGTGTTTGTAATTTGAGTTGCTCTAGTCTGGGTCTGTATTTCAGTTTTTTTAGCTCTTGTCGTGCGACACTGTACTCTTTCAAGAGTTGCGATATCACTTCTTAAGTATGGTGACCATGACTGGACAGTGAATTCAAGATGCAATTTAATGCATGTAGTGTAGAGGGTACGCGAAAAATTAAAACCATGACTTCTGAATGCCTTTTTTAGGCGCCCTAGTATACTGTTCGCAGTTGCGGCTGCTGCTTCTACCTGTGCTCTGACACAGGTTATCAGAAATAAGAACTCCTAAATCACGTTCAACAAACAACAAACTCAGAATATCACAGGTTTCAAGAAGGTTTGATAGACAACCTTTACCATAAACAAAGCCATGCTGAGAATTGTTTATAAATTTTTTAGCTTCATAATACTATTATGAATGAAACTCTCCATGATTTTACAGAGTACTGTTGTGAATGATACTGGTTTATAATTGCACACTTTAAGTTTACTACCTTTCTTGAATATTGGTGACATGTTTGATTTTTTCCACAGATCAGGCACAACTCCGCTTGAAAAAGAACGTTTGAATATTATAGCCACTGGTAGTGCAAAAGCTTTAACACACCTGTTTAGTAAACATGGATGAATGCCATCTACGCCCATCGATTTAGTTTCTACTAAACCCTTAAGTTTTGCCTTCACTTGATCAAGAACGATATCATTTTCACTAAAACCACATACTTCATTTGTACGATTATCAAAGACTGGCATGTCACGTAGCAGTTCAATATCAAAGACTGACTCAAAGTAATCATTTAGTGTCAAACATATTGTTTGGTCAAACATATTGTTGTCGTAACATCAGCTGTTTTGAGAGTTCGTATTAGATCTTTTACACGTTGCTTACTGCAAATATGTGCATGTAACTTCTTTTGGTCAAACTTTGAGGTTGTTTTTTTTTCATAGTTTTGTATAGCTACTTTAACCAACTTCACAACTTTTTTGCTTGCTTAGAGAATTTTTCCTTCACAACTTTTTTTATCCTGTGTTGTTCTTATAAAGATTAGTGAGTTTGTCTGCCCGCTGTTAAATATTTCTGCCATAACACCCGTTTCTGTTTGCTGGTTTCATTCACTTCAGGTGTAACCCAGATAGCCTTTTTGGTAACAAAAGGTACTGATGTAGAGGGGATATACTTGTTTACCGCTTCAAAATATTTTGCGACAAGAAGCTCGTAGTTGTTGTTTACGGAAAAACCTTTGAACATCGCTTTCCAATTGTATGCAGCGTAGTTTGCTTTACTCCATATTAATCTTGTTTCATGTGCACTGGTTTTATAATGTTTTGTCATGGCAAGAAAACCTATAATTGAACGATGAGTTTGACCCCTTGGGGTTAACACAGGTGGATCTTCTGACACATAGATGATTCGATCAGGATCATCTGTGATAATGAGATCAATGTATTTTTTGGTTGTAAATTTCGATTTGTTTGATATGTTGGGAAAGTAACCATTTGAGTAAGAAAATTTTCGCTAAGGCACGACTGAAACTTTAAGTCAGTAAAGTGTTCGCCAAATAAATGTCTGACAGTTACAGTAGCACCATTTGCATCTGTTGACTCGTAATAGGTGTGACTCAAGTTAAAATCTCCTTAGAGCAGCATGGCTGAACAATTAAGGCTAGTTAACGAGTTTCTCGCTGTTTTTATTGTCTCTTTTATTTGTGTTAAAATATTATTATCGTTATCGTGTGGTCGATAAATACTACCCAGAAGAAATGATTCTTTTTGGAATATAATAATTCTCCAAACTTGTTCTATAACATTTGTGTTTAGAATTTGAATATCGACTTCAAAAGTTTCAATTTCATTTTGCGTGTAGATTGCAACACCTCCTCTTCTGCAGTCTCTATCTAAGCGATGCAGTTGGTATCCCGGTATTACCGTGTCTGAGTTGTTGTTAAAGCAGGCTTCAGAGAAAAACATGATATGTGGCCAATTATTATTTGGCCACATATCACAGTTATTGTTTATGAATATAAAATAGTAAAAGTAGAAAAGTAAGGAAACAAAACAAGAAACAAACTAAGAAAAGGAAAGTATGAGTTGGTTAGTGGAGTAAAAAAAGTTATAGAAAAATACTAATAATGCCAGGAAAAAAGAAAACTTATGCCAAAATAAAATGTGGCTTATCTCTTCAACTGAATGTGCGCAAAAAAAGTTAAATATTTGCATAGATATATTGAGTCTAAATATTAAATGATAACATGAAGTAACTTTTATGAAATTCATTATAATGTACTTTATCATACTACTAGTATGAAAGTAATATTTGTAGTAATACAACAGTATTTATTTTATTCGAAAATTAAATATCAGTATCAAACAGGAAATATTAAATGATGAAATTCATACTTTATCATACAAATAATATTTATTTTATTCAAAAAAAAATTTTCTTTTTTTTTAATATAATGATCAGTGTATCAATG